GCACAAGAATTGGTGAACATAACTACAATTATGTTTGTAGCATATGAACAAAATTTTATCATACAAGATCTTAAGAAATATTAGCTTAAAATATGTGTAAAACTGTATCATATATTTTCTATAAACAATTAATAAAAGTTGCCCTAACGATATAACCATTAAAATTCCTCAAAATAAATAAAAAAAGTTTGGTGGCCCAAATTCTTTGAACAGAATTATAAGAAATATTTGTGATACATAGAATGATATGAGGATGGTTTGGATTTGACAGATCGAGGCGGCCTGGAGGATCTCTAAGAGGATCAAAAGGAGTAGACACAGCGGAATATCTAATCGAGAACAGCAAATGCACTTGTGTTGGTGTACAAAAGAAAGGTCAAAATGGAGGCTATGTTCTAAACACCAAGACTCATAAGAATTTCTGGCTCTTGGCATGATCAGGCATTGCTTCTAGTCAGTTTTACATGCTTTGAGGTAGCTAAAAGAAAATGATGTGACAAAATTAAGAAGAAATATAAAGATTACCACCATTCATCTTCACTTGTTTCATTCATGATTTCTAAATTCTTGCAATGAAGTGTTTCTTTTATATGTTGTTTTCCCCCTTTGAAAATGTGGGTAAAGCTGTAGATATCTAACGTATGATCAACTAGCACCAATGCGAATAAATGGATGTAAGAATCTAGAGAGAATGCCTCAAATTTGAAAAATATGAGAGAAGAATATATTCATGATCATTGTTGTAAGCAATGGAAACTTTTGATTAGTTTCAGCCACTATCAAGAACCAATATAGGCTCTCTGGATCTGTAACGTAAAGATGAAAAGAAACATGCCACTTTAAAGTTCATCGTATTTTCATTGAGTTGCTTGAACGTATACCATCTCCCTATTCTAGCGAAACTCAAATATTTTCTCTGGCATGCATTATCAAGAGGCTATATGTGTGGAAATAGTTTGTTTACCATTTACATTATCATATATAAAGAGAATCAAGGATCTTTATAGAAAACATAAGGTATATCTTGGCGTTGATGAAACAAACACTACTTCCTCAATATTTGTACGGTTATTATAAAGAATTTGGAAATATCGAAATTAAAAGAACAAGAACTATGAAGAAAGCTTTGAAAAACAAATTTAACTTCGAATAATCACTCATCTATACAAATTAGCGGGATTCGTTTCCAAAGACAATGTCCAATTGTAAACCAAATAGTAGAATAGCAGAATCGTCGTGAATAGTAGAAATAACTGAATTGGATAAATTTATACGGAATACTTATAAAACATTAAAAAGCTAATTTTAGTAGCCCACA